AATAATGTCCTATCGCAAAAAAACTATGCTAGTCTTACAAAAGTCCTAAATAGTCCATATTGCCACTACACTCTTATGCGTGTAATACATGTTTTGGCCTTTTCAATTAATCACCATTGATTATTTTTTCATTGAATTTTCTGTGAATTTGAATTAAATTTTATTAAATGGTACGCTCCTCTCCTTATCCGCCCTTATTTCTTTTTGACTGAATTCGTTTTAGTTCCTTTGACGGTGGTCTTGTGTGGCTGGATATTTTTGTTGTTTCACTTGTTAATAATTCCTTTCATAGTTTTTAATAATTATGTATGTTTATAAAGACGCAATTGAAGAAGCCTCATTTCACTTTATAAATGATTTAATCATTGATAGCTCATTTTGTAATATAAAGTTTTAAATTTTATACTAAAAATATATTTGTGGCGATTAAATATAATAGCTGTACCTCCTATGTTGTTTAATTCTAAATATTTAAACGATACAAATAGTGTTTACTCTTCATAAACACAATAAACACATTTTTCACTGTCAACAATCTTGATACATCGATCAAGGACAAAGACTCTTTCACGTTTGAATGATGATTTAGAAGAAAATGTAAGCAATGATTAAAAAGATTCCTTAACAGATACAATTATTACAATTATGGCTTCATTTTTTAAATCTTTAAACGTTAAAAAAGTACACGGCCTTCAAAGGGATAATCCTTATCGACCGGGAATTCTTGTGTTTGTTTTGTTTTTGTTTTATTTTTGCAAATACTACTTATTGGAAAGGGAATATACTTAAATGTCAAGACTTAAATGTCAAGACATATTCATTTTCTTAAGATCTTACTTGAGGAATTTAGTAATTCCATCTATCATGTATAGTAACTCCAGGAAAATGGTCGCTGTGAGTGATAGCTTAGAGTACAACACCCGCAAAAGTGGAGTTGTGGCCGAATAACCGAATGGTAGAATCACGGGCAGTGGTGACTTAGTCGTCCATGGGCAACAGAAGCAAAATTTAAGTTGTCAAAGAACGGTCGCATTGGTGATGCAGAGGACCGCAGTGATTTCATTGTAGTAAAATTACGTAGAAATTAAATAACGGCATTTGTATTGCATTAGAAAACGTAATGGTTACGCAGTTGTTTAACGATCGTAATGTTGGCGAGGGACTTATGACAATTAAAAAAAAACCCGTAGAATTAAAAGTCTGAACTAAAGTTGTTTTGCCTTAACTATTCTGAATTCTGTGATAGATTTTAAATATATAGTTCTGTAAATGAACCAATATTCTATATGGTATGACATCTGCTGTCGTGCCCAAACTCAATTCAAAGTATTAAATAGCACATTTGCTTTTTTTCTGATATAACTATATAGCCCTTGTAAATGGAGTGTAATGTGTCTTTGTAGATGATCCAATCTTTTTGTTACATGCATGTTTATTAAGTTTATTACCTGTAAATGACCTGCTCTGGTCATATAAGCATAAAAAAGAATGTTTTATATATTACAGGTTGAGCAATATGCAAAATGTTTTATTGAGGTAAGAAAAGACCATATGCATGTCAGTTAGTAATCACTTTCACAACTTACCGTTTTATCGATACATATTTGTTTTTATGTGCAAAAACATTTAAAACATTTATATGCGTATTTTAAATGTTAAATTCTCAATGTCTGCTTTACAAAAAGTTTAATTTAATAACTCGAACGATAAAATAGCAGGGAGAAAATTATAAACACCACCAACAACTACTTCATCATTCCTTCAAACAAAACGGTCATAAGTAGCTTAAAAACAAAAAAGTCCATTTTGCTCAATCGGAAATGAATTATTCATTCTTTTGTCTACAAAAATTAAGAAAACAAGAATTTGTAATAGAGTGACCAACGTCCCCCGCCTCGGGGAAGTTTTATATGAAGCATGAAATTGTGATATTTCAAAAGATTGAGGTATGGATCTCAGGACTTTCAGTCCAAAATTATGATCAATGCTAGATCTGCAAATTCAACAATAAATTTAGTACAGAAAGAGAAGAAACATCTATCATTTGACCTCTTAGTGTTACCTTGACCTTGGAAGTAGGAATGCATGACATATCGTCTTATTATTGAAACTATTTGTGCCAAGTATTTTCAAAATCCCTTGAACTATGAAGAAGTTATGGATTGGACACAAAATATACCCTATCACAGACTCTGTAAATCTTTGACCTCTAAGTGTGACCTTGGAGGTAGGGACCAATGTTTTGCACCTGACATATTGTCTTATTTCTGTGATTATTTGTGCCAAGTATTTAAAATCCCTTGATTTTTGAAAAAGTTATGGACTGGAAACCCAATATACCCTATAACAGACTCTGTAAATCTTTGACCTCTACGTGTGACCTTGACCTTGGAGGTAGGAACACATGTGTTATGCATGACATATCATCTTATCATTGTGACTTTTTGTGCCAAGTTTTTTTCAAAATCCCTTGATCTATGAAGAAGTTATGGACGGGACACAAAATATACTTAAGAAATAACATCGGCCTGAGAGGTGTATATCGGCTATTTAACACCGGTTTGGAGTTTTGATGCGTAGGAATTGACCACGAAGGCCGTAGGCCTGAGTGGTTAATTTTGTCGCATCAAAACGACAAAACCAGTGTTAAATAGCCGATATACACCTCTCAGGCCGATGTTATTTCGATTCTAACACGATAAAATAAGGAAAATCACTAATGTTATTTTTCAAGCGGAAATAACTTCCGGTGCCGATTTTCGTATAACGCTGTTCGATTCTCGCACCCTACTGTTGCGATGATGTAGAAATTATCAAACAAAGGAAATAATAAGAAAAATACGTTATTTTATCAAGTTTTCAACAATAAAAACTTACGTCGTATTGTTTTTACATCAGTGCCCCATTTATCATTTTTGTACGTATGAAATAACGTCAGCTTGTTAATGATTGAGTTGTTTACTTAGGATGACGTCATTACGCTACTTACGGATTGGCGCCGTTTTGTCAAAATATTTATTAACTGATATGGATCTAATATGTGGCGTTAGTGTACGTGAGATATTATTTCGGTATTGCATGAAAAGAAAACATTATACGAACTGAAAATATAAATAAAAATGCTTTTTATTGTTGCTTTAAAATGCTTTGTAAACAATACAATCGAGGGTGAAAACATAACAGCGCATATACAAGTAGTCCCTAACCGGTGTTTATTGGCAGTTTAACACCAGTTTTTTTCCTTCTTTGACTATAGTGACAAAATCACGTGAGTGTTAGAACATATAACAGACTCATCTTTGATCTCTAAAACCTTGACCTTGGAGGTAGGGGTGCAGGTGTTGTACTTGACATACCGTCTTATTATGTGACTATTTGTGACTTGTTATTTCAAAATCCCGAAGAAGTTCTAGATCGGACACAAAATATACCCTTAAACAGACTATGTTAACTTTTGACCTCTAAGTGTGACCTCGAAATTGAAGGTATGGGTGCAGGTGATGCGCATGACACATTGTCTTTTTATAGGGACTTTTTGTGGCAAGTATTTTCAAAATCCTTTGATCTATGAAAAAGTTATGGATCGGACACAAAATATGCCCTGTAACAGACTGTTAATCTTTGACCTCCAAGTGTGACATTGACCTTGGAGGTAGGTGACCGGTTGTTGCGCATGACACATCGTCTCATTATTGTAAATAATTGTTACAAGTATTTACAAAATCCTTTAAAATAGAGTGAAATAAGAATCCCTAATGAAAGGCCAACGCGGCAAAATTGAAAATGTTGCATGCTCGGTTTGATTGAGCCTGTTCATGGACGGTACTGTCAAGAGCAAACTGCCGTTCACGCCCCCTAGCACCGGCTTAAGCAGATTTCAACATTTAACATGAACTGGTAAAATTCAGAATTTTGAAACATCCGTGGATGTGTTCATATGGCGGTTATCATGGAAACTTCAATGTGACACGTTAGTGCCATTCCACGAAAAGCGGCATATATTCCCCAAGGAAAAAGATGCCTGTGCCATCAACGAGAAAACAATGAGCGAACTAAATAAAATGGAATTTTGAAAGGGAATCTGAGGTTATGAAGCCTGCATATCACAGATATAAAATCAAAAGGCAAATTTAAAAAGCAAGTGAGTATTCAAGTGAGAAATACTGGAACCACCCAACAAGAAAGCTGCCAAATAGATAGAACTAAAACACCACACGCACAAACAACAATAATGTCGTGCTGAACGATCATTAAGGATCGGAAATATAACACTCCTGATTAAATGTACGGGGCGACTTTTTACAGCCTCCACACGGCACAAACAACGCTGATGTGACGATAAAATAGAGTGAAATAAGAATCCCTAAAGGCCAACGCGGTAAAATAGAAAATGTTGCAGGCTCGGTTTGATTGAGCCTGTTCATGGACGGTACTATCAAGTGCAAACTACCGAAGATAAGAAAGTTATGGACCGGACACGACATACACCCTCACATAGACAATGTTGACCTTGAATGAGCAAGTGCAACCTTGACCCTGGAGGTAGTGGTCTTGTTTTGCGCATGACACATTGTCTTGTCATAACAAACATTTGATGAATGACAAAGTTATGGACCGGACACAAAAGTGTGACGGACAGACGGAAGTGCCAACAATTGGGGTTTATTTGCTTTTTCTTTGATCTTTATGTGGCATTTTCCCCCATAAACCAGTAAAATTACCACATAAACCAGTCGGTTTATGGGATTTCCTTCTTTTTTTAACAAAAAATTATGGACGGCATGAAATCAATCTCTGATCGCCCGGACGGACGGACAAACAGCCGGACGGAGCCTATTTCTATTTTCCTCTTTTCTTCGAAAAGGCGGGGGCAATTAAACACAAACACATATGTAGCATCTGTCAATAACATTACATTTATTCTATAACATTCCATATGTAAACACATGCAGAAATATAGAAACATAGAAAATAAAAATTGTTCAAACTGATATGATCCAATAAAATAACTATTATTATGAACCTGAAAATGAAACGTTCAAAATATAATATTCTGTTACATTTATTTATAGACCTGTATCATTTAGTTTGAATTGATAGAGGAATACAGAAATACACAAATATTCAGAAACACTGAACAATAAGAATTGCAAACTAACTTATTCAAATATATTTCTTATACAAGCTTAAAGAAAAAATACTACGAGGGTTCAAACTATAAATTAGCGATCCGCTACTTTTTATATCCACAAAGCAAGTGAACTTCCTGCAAATAATGATGTGTAACAACAAGAATAAAGACATGGTTGATAACATGCATCACTGAAATGTAAGTTATCTTTTTAAAGCAAACTAAAATAGACGGACTTGCCAAAACACTGAAAGTTATATAAAAATAGTCATATAAAAACAATCACTCACCAGGCTTTTCATGATATATGCAAAGATTTATTTGTAAGTTTAGTGTAAGCAATGAACACGGAGGCTATTAAAAATATAAAATTTGCTGTCTAAAGTTTTATATAAAATTATTTACCAGTTATCCTACTTTAAGCGACAATGACAATATCATAACTATTTCTTTTATGTATTATTACGAGGCCGTCCTTTAGTACATAGAAAATAAGTTTTCAATTGAATGTTATGGTGGCTGTTATTCAGCCAATCAAAGATACTTAAAAACATTTATCACTATGCTCAAAATATTAAAAATTAAACTGTCCTAAAATTGTGAGGCTTTATTCAAATAATACATGACCTAAGACAATTATTCATATATCACAGTATGTTGATATTTTCCCATTTGCAAAAACAGTCATGTAATTAATATTTTATAGGGGTGGTTAATACAGGGTTTATTTATTATAAGTAAGAAAAGGGTGGGTGGGTCGGTCTTATCAATTATCTACATCTAGCTGCATGACTCTTAACATAGTCCATAAACTCTTCACGATTTTGTTGCAGCATCGCCAAAAACAAATGTGTAATGCAATTAAATAAGGCTTGGTGTATAATTCCACAAATATAGCACTACAAATAAGGCATTTCTCTTAATCTGGAGTAAAGCAATTGTAACATGTATTCCAATTGTCCCGATAATATCAGATTTATCCAGTCTGGAACTGTCAAATCAAAAAGTGTGATCATGATTGGCCAAAATCTTTTATCTTTGAAAAATTCCCATTCTATGTCCATCATACGTGTTCTCTTGAATAGCATTTCTAACTTAAAGTGGTCTATTTTACATAAAGCACTTGCAAGGAAGCAATTTTCTACCTTTCTTCTCCATTCTCTATAAAAGTCTATCTGATGACTTTCTAACATTTGATTAAAAAAGTTTATACACTCATTTAACCTTGGAAGCTTGTGTAGTGCAAAATTCTCATATTCTACTAAACCTGCTATTATTCTGTGTTTTTCCTTTCCATTCATATTCTCACGTATCAGGTTACGTTCTGGAATCATATAGTTTGGAAGGTGATTATTTTGTAAACTGTACTTGATAAACATTATCGCCTTCTTCAACAGCTTGACCAAATTACTTGGGACAAACGCTTGTTCTGGTTCAGTTTCTACAATCCAAAATACAATATTTTTCACAATGTATGATGATATGTCTTCACAAACATTCTTTTTTATTTCCTTCGCAACATATTTAAAAAGTATATAGAATTTCAACTGGACATCAGTCAGGGATTTTATTAATTTCAATTCTGCGATCGTGTAGCAAACGCGCCATTCAATATTCTGACTATCACTAGATTTATGACCAACAGGAACAACGTATCCTTCCATACTTGTAATTTCTTGTATCAAGCTGACTGAAGGCCAATGATAATATCTTACTCTTTTTGACCAGTTGCTTAAATAGCAGCCCCCGTAAAAATACATGGCTAATACATGATCAATACGTTCAATTGTAATTGCTGGTCCCTGTGTTTCAAAACACACATAGCCATCACGAACTTTATTGATTGCCTGCATTGATTGTAAAAAGAAATTTCTAAATATTGGGCTTGATATATACACGCGTCCAAAATATGCCTTATAAAGGTCCGACTGATGTAAACACTCAAATAATGCACTGTCTTCGTCTCCATACGCCAAAACAAGTTTTACGTATCCAGGGGGTGTGTTTATATATTCAGCCTCAACAATATTAAAACCATTAGATATGTTAGCTGTATCTACACAAATTGTATCTGTTATGATAATCATACAATCCATGTCACTGCTTGATAACGAAACCCCTTCTGCTGTACTACCTACAAGTTCTATTTTAATTGGAAAATTAAACGTCTCGTTTAGCCTGTCAGCGAGTTTAAAGATCTCTTTTTGAGCTTCTGATTTTTGCAATAACCACTCACGATCAAATCCTATTGCACTTAACGTAGTAAATATCATTTGGGACAAATGGTCTTCTTTTAATTGTTCTTCTGCCATTTTATGAACAAATACACCTTAAGTTTAACACCTGAAAAGAATAAAAACACACTGTTTATTCGTTAGACGAAACAAGTTTTAATTTCTGTGATACAAGGATCCAATTTAATGACAAACATGACAAACTGCTTGTTTGTTTAATATTTGTAAAAGTAATCTAATCTTAATATTTATATGTAATTATGTCAAAGTGATGTACATTTATATTAGCAAAGTACAGATATAAACAATGTTGAATTGCGACATTATCAGTCCATACATTACTATGTATGTATAGCTTATCTTTTCATTACTTACGTATTCATATCACATAAACAAAAAAAATGTTATGTAATAAAATGCATTTGTTTCGTTGCATGATTTTGTTTTTACATAAGCATATGATGTATACATAGCATATGTAAAACCGATTCTATGGACATGACTTTTCGTTAATTAGCTATTTACATACACATTTATTTATTGATACGGAATACTTTCGTTTCGCTTCATTATTTTGTTACTTTTGCACATTACAGATTCTATATACTTTTGCAACATGTGGATTGCTTTCAATCTGAGTCATATATTCATGTGAACATATTATCAATATGTATTGTAACAATAATTTAACCATTCTATTATCAATCAATCTCGAGAAAATAAAGTCTCTCTATCAAAGTAAATAAAGGCCAGAAATTGCATGCATATGAAGAACGAACCCTGTCTTTTTTACCAACGATAGGCGCTATTCAAATTATAATTTTCAAATTCTACAGATATATAAATATCTAGGGTACATCGGCAATTAAAAACTACAATTCTCTATACACTATTTCTTGCTGTTCTTAATTAGTTTGAAAATATATTAATAATACATTTTTTAAGAATGAAAACGAAAACAATACTTACCAATTAGTGCCTGTCATCGCATTGCCTATAAAATGATCTAACACACAACCGTATCTATTAAATGAAGTTAGGGTCAATGTATATAGTCCGCTGATTAGATTTTATTTATCAGAATGTAAAACGATTAGCTGAAAAAGCCAACCTAAATAAAGGTTTAACACACATAATCTGCATTTCATTAACAGAAAAGGATGAAAATACTTGAAATTACCCAAAATCGCGTTTTTCCATGTTAAAGCATGGCCTAGCATACATGTATAAATTTGAAGAAAAATTGTTGTTTTGTATATTTTTTTATTTCTTTCATTAATCAAGATATTGCTGAACAAATACAAAATATTTAAGGGACTCCACTGAAGTTTTTTGACATGACGGGATTGAAAATAATTTCTGGAGACTAATTTTCTATTAGATGAAGGTCAAGGTCAAAAACTACATGTGCACCAAATTACATTTACCTTTTTGTCCATAATGATTATTGAAAGTTTGAAAAAAGACCCAAATTTAAAAAGCATTGAAATGCTTTACATTCACATCGGCCTTAAAGTAGCACATAAAACACGCTTTTCAATTTATATTGCTTATGTTTCTTTATAAGCTTTTGGATGTCTTCTCTAATTTCATGCTTTTAGGCTTTAAGACCTCAGTGGAGTTCCTTTAGGCAGAAATCAGATAAGCATGCCAAAGTGTACGAATGAACAAACAATTCGGAAAACCTACCAAATTTTAAAAATGGGGCGATGAAAAATTGACTATAAAGTTGTTTTTCTGAGAAATAAAACAATACGAAAGGCAAGCTTGAGAATGGACTATATAAATTTTTTTTGGACACCTAATACAATATGCAAGGCAAGCTTAATCACTAAAGTTTATTTATTCTTTTAAAGATGAAAACTAGCATTTTTGACGAGTGTTTCTTCGGCAAATACAACAGTTTTCCGACGAAATCCGTAACGTATTTCAGGAACTCCGTGACACGTATCTGAAGAATTTCTTGCTCCATTCTCCGTATAAGAGTTCAATCCCTTTGTATCGTTTGCAAGGAAATTTCAAATTGTCATATATTTGTTTATAAAAAAATATTCAATACACGTAGGAGTACCTAGAAATACATAATGCTTGTGTTACTGTTTAATCAAATTGATAGTAAAATAGCGAGTCGGGATTGAGTATTTATATGTATTTTGTGTACCAATCATTTAAAGTTAAAGTAATTTGTAATTTTGTATCTACATTTTAACTTAACTGAACGCGAGAAACTATCAAAACGCTTGTTCAAAAACTAATTTGATGGTGGTAACGTTGTTTTCTGCTAAGTCATCTGTATGATAAAATTGATTTATGTAATCAAATACATTTGTATCAAATCACATGTATATAAAATGTTTGTTTTTTCAAGTCGTTTAGAGAATGGATTGATCTACAACAGGTACATTTCATAATAAGTATTTATATAATTGATAAAAATCCAGCCAAAAATATTATTTTCAAACCAAGTTATATTGAAAAATTTGTTAACAAACCAAAGGAAATCAAACCATTAGGCCTTCGTTTAAAAGATGATTTAGATAAACTTAAAATTAATCCAGACAGTATCCTTCGAAATGACGATGAGGATGTTCCACCTTGGACTTATAATTCCCCTGAAATAAATATTAACCTTTCAAATATAAAAAAGTCATCAAATTCACATGAACATTTCAAAGAGAAGTTTCTAGCAATTAGGGAAGAACATGAAGATTTTATACATATTTATACGGACGGTTCAAAGGAAGGTTGCAAAGTAGGTGCGGCTGTGTTTGAAAATAATTTTACATCTAGTATGAGATTACCAGATAATGCATCAATTTTTACTGCTGAAGCCAAAGCTATAGATTAAGAATTGTCATACATAGAACAGCATACCCATGATAAATTTGTGATATTTTCTGACTCGCTTTCTGTTTTAATATCCATTAAAACTAAGAAAGCTGACAATATCATGATAAAGAAACTTCTTTTACGATTTCATGATATACTTAAAATAAAATCTGTTAAATTATATTGGATTCCAAGTCATGTAGCTATACGAGGAAATGAAAAAGTAGATGCTTTAGCTAAACAATCATTAAATTTTCAAAAAACTGACATATTGTTACATGCTTGTGATTTTAGAACGGCTATAAATAAACTCATTTCATCTGAATGGAAAGCATTGGGAAAATGCCGTCTTTAATAAACTTCATGATATAAACCCATCTCTTGATGTGTCACCATCTCTGTCTTTGACAAACCGCCATGATCAAACAGTTCTTCTTCGATGCCGAATTGGACACACTAAAGTTACCCATTCTTATCTCCTCACGAATGACAATGCCCCTTTCTGTGTAGCCTGCAATGAAAATTTTACTGTCAAACATTTTCTTCTGGAATGCCATGATTTTTCACAGGCCCGTACTAGATTTTATAATGTAAATTCACTCAAAGAACTCTTTAATACAATTCCATCAAAAAATTGGCTCTATTTTATTATAATTTACAATGTTTTACATAATATTTTAAGCTTATTATAGCATTCGGCACGATATGGCCATTTATGTGTTGACGTGCCGTAAAATCCAAACAAATCAACAAACAAACAAATAGCAATGTATCATATGTATATATTATTTTTTTCGTGGATGGAAAATGTTGATCTATTTCTAAAAGATTTAGTATGAACATGTATATGATAAACAAAAATAACACTATAATTATCCTAAATATCCAGACATAATACCCTCAATGTTTGTTGTCAGGTATAATGCTAAAACTATCACCATAACTTTTATGGTAATACATACCTTTCATTATGGACACACTTTAATATAATAAATTAGGGATTAAAAACGGTTATATGTATTTTAATGTCATATGTATTGATCGTTGATTGATTTTGTCAATAATAGTTTTAGGAAATATCAATACAATCATGTATGAAATGTGTTCTTAACCAAGCAAATACAAATGTCTGCTTATTCATGTTCTTTTTAACTATACAAAACAATGATTATAAGTAAATAATAATGACATCATAGTACAACGATCATGTTTATCGATATAATGCCAATATATGACCCTTAAATATTTTGCCAATATCCTTTCAATGTAATGAACAATGAAAACGCAACCAGAATAATTTTTATCCAAGGCATATAAAATATTATATCCATACCTGATCAGACTATGGTTTAAGTGTACCAAATTAGAAACTTCATTGAGCTAGAACAATAGTTTAGTACTTCTTCTTCACTGAAGCTCTATTAAGACATCAATGAGTATTTAATGAGGAACTTTATCATTACCGTTCGAAATGTCACAGAAAGTATATATGTCGTCTGACATTTATCAGCTTTGTCAGACAAATAGCAAAATTTGGTCAAAGATTTATCTTAGAGTTATCACAACATAATTTGTTTGTTAAGGTAACGGCATATGTTACTTTCTTCGCAGTAGATATTTTTAGATTTGTATATCACAAGAAGCCTTCTATCAATTTAAACATTTTTCAGAGATGGGTACCTTCTTAATGTATCAATTTAATTTGACCGATGTGGTTTATTAAAGTCCACCGAATGTGACGGGACCGTTGTTGAGCCAACACATTGCGATATTGTGATGATAATAAGGGAGTTGCACTAATTGGAGCCAATTCATTGCGATTTTGTGATGATAATTGCGGAGTTGCAGTAAATCAAGCCGGTTAATTGTGATGATAACTGCAGAGTTGCAGTAATTGAATCTAAAACACATAGTTAAACATTCTAAGTTTCCGAGGTTTACTTTACTTTTACATGCCATTACTCCTTCCATCTGTAGAATGAACATAACTTTATTTATTTTCTGTCCTTTTAGCAGAGAATTACTCGTGTATATAGGAAAAGGGGACCTTTCGCAAAGAGGTTGCCGAAATAGATACCCATCGTATATCTAAAAATTGAGATATTGATTTGCATGTATGCAAAACGAATATATTTTGCTTTGTTTAGCTTTTGTCGATTTGACGAATCCCGTTTATTATGATGCAAAAAATTAAATAAATGAAAACGTCGTTTATTCCTCAAAAGCTAAAAGATGATAGAAACTTTATAAATGTTTATATAAAGCAATCACG